TGTGCTGTTTCTTTTAATATATTAATTATATATAGAATTATTTAAAAGTATGATTACTCATTTTAAAAGATTATAACATTTAGTTCTACTAGTTTACTCGGTTGTTAGTGAAAGTAATGGAATTATAATATATATTTTTGCTACATCTACAACAGATTTGTTTCTCAAGCGATATATCGAAATAATCTGCTTACAGCGATGTCTAGTTTCCTTTTCTATCATCTTGGGCTTTTTAGGTTCTCTTTATGAATAAAACAAATTTTTTATTTATTACGCGGATTAGCGGGAGACAAACAAACTCGTAGAATCGCATATAAAATCGAAGAAAGCCGCGCACAAGTAGTAAACTCACGTATCGCTCGGACACATTACTTCGCAGGTCCTGCTAATAAATCTACATCGGCTTTCAAAAAAAGCGCGCGGCTCGGGAGCACAAGAGAGACGGTGGAACTTCAGAGGAATATATTCCAGGAAATTTTCGTTAACATGTACGTGCTCTCGCTACTCGCTCTCGTTTGCATTCATCGGCGTCGCGCGATATAGTACAGGCGCGAAAGTGTTTACTTCTCTCCTTCGTCGCGGCGATTGCCGGACACTGTGGCTTGTCGAAAAAGGAAGGCATCGAGAGGAACGAAGGGAAAGACGATGTGTGAACGATGCAGGAGAAGAAGAGATGTTTACGTTGGACTAAGGGGAAGGCCTCGTTACGTTCCCTTGGTCCCAGACTTATACGCAACGAGATAATATCGGTTCAGTACGAACATACGCGAGAAAATGTGATTGCCTATTGGTTTTTATTGCTATGTATCGTGAAATTAACAAAATGCACTTAAAGGCAAGTGATGTGAATTAGAATCGCGATTTCCGATTATTTATACAATTTTATTTATTGCAAAGAATTTTTCTCTCTGCTTTCATGATGTATATAAAATCAAGATATCAATGTATTTTAAATAATATAACTATCCTCTTGTTATAATTATATAATGTAATTATTAATATTATATGAACTGATAAGCATTTGAATTTGATCGATTTACGTGTTGCAGTTTCATACGTTATTATTATTTTTTTTTTTTTTTTGAAGAAATAAAGCCTAGTCGCTTTTATATAGCATAGTTCGCTTTGCATAATGCCACGATGCAATTAATGTCCGGCAATTTATACGCGCGCCGTCGCGCGCTTTATTAAATCGATTCATATTCCGACATAAAGTATTAAGATTAATTGTTCTGAAACACGAGATTCACAATAGGAAGCAAATTTTAAAATTGGATAAAAGTATTCACAAATCCATAAATATAAATTTATATTTTTTCTGATTATTTATATACACAGATTAAAGATTATATTCATGAATTATATATAAAATTATATTGTAGAACTTTGTCAGATATGTTAAAAATTTAAAATAATTTTTAAGTATTCAATTATTTATCAAAAGAATTTTTAAGATCAAATTATTTTAATAATCTGTGATTAAAATTATGTATTGTGTGTGTACATGGAAAAAATCTAATAACAGAATACTGTATTCTTTTGTGAAACACACAAAATTATTTATGAAAATTGAAAACGTCTTTGAAAATGTTAGATTTTTTATAAGACATAAAATGAATTTAGACATTTCTCAAGTTTAACATTTAGAATTGCGTATTTGAAAATTTCATAGATATTTGAACTGTTTCTTTATTAATTCGGCATACTTCACTAAAAATATTCTTTAAGAACACGATAATTAATCGTTTTTGCTCTTGCGTTCATTCTTTCACTGGCCCTTCGTGTGAAATATTTTACCCTCGTCGAGTGTTAACGAATCTTCGCGCAAATCTCTGAGTGCGAAATATATAAGTTGTTGTTCGCTGTTGAAGTCACGCCGAATCGTGCGGCCTACGTCGACATGAGGCAGAAGAGACCGAAAGATACTTGCAAGCTCGCATAAAGCTCGCTCTCTCTTTCTTCTCTGTTTTCTTTAGTTCCAGTCTTCCCACCTCCCTCGTTGTCTTTCCTCGTCGACAAGCACGAGTTTACATCACGTGGAGAGTAAGAGGCGCGATCTCGTAATTATTACGTCGTGAAGGATGGGAAGTGACGCGATGATTACCGCCGTTGCCAACCTTCTTGAAACCTCCAACGCGCTATTCTCTCGCCTCTCAGCTTCATTTTCTTTATTTACTGTCAGATTCAACTCGTACGCCATACTTTGCGATTTGGTGACAATGACATTTCGTCGCTTGTCATATGATTTGTTTTTCATAAGTGACATGTATAATTGCGAAATAATATAATGGAAAAATTTTTATCGAATGTAGAAGGGCTTATAACAGTAATAGTAATTAAGATTTAATTAGTATATGATATAATAACTAACGGATTTCATTCGACATTAATAAATGGTTATATCCGCTAATCATAAGGAATATCTATGATACTCCGATTGAATTTACAACACATTAAGCCGTCTTATTATCATTGGGAACAATGACGAATGATCAAAAGGGATAGAATACGAAGATTAGATTCGAATCTAATATAACTTTGGCTTTCGACTGGAGATATATGTTACCTTTACTTAACACCAAAATGTATAACATGAGATGAGATCAGTCTAGCGAATCATGTAACACTGTAAAAGTGCTGTCATAGTCCTGACAGGGTCAATTATCCCTACCATCGACCGCCCGCCTTCTCGACGTTAATTGTCGAGCGTTATAACGTGGCACGACATGCCAGCAGCAGGCGCCACAATAAAAGAGAAAGCGGACGGAGTGCGTCCTCCTTGCACGGTAGGATGCGTCCAGCCGCCATTTTGGTGGCGGTGCAACAGAGGGGTAATAACTGCAGGAATTCATGGTATGGCGATAATGCGTGCTCCGACGATGGGGCCCGCGGGGTTGAAGGACGAAAGAAGACGAGGCCCCTGAAGAGGCCCATCGAGAGAAGAAGTGGGGAGACTCCGCGTGTCATGATGCAGAAACTTACGTACGCCTTCACGTACGTTTCGTGCGTACGTGCGAACACCGATCTCGAAGGGGAGATCCATGGGAGCGGGCCTGTTTCTGATTGGTCGGAGCACGTACACCGGATGTTGGAGGTCGGTCTGCGTTGGGGGAAAATATTCGAATTATCCCTTACAGTCCTTTACACGGTATTGATGGGAAAATAAAGAGGACCGACAAATTTATTTAAAATCGGCAATTGTCAAAACATATATTGCAATTTGATATTTTATCTTTAATATTTAGGAAAAATCTAAGAAAACGAGAAAAAATTTATTGTAATGTATTTGCATCAATATATTTTATCATGACGCGTTTAATTTTCTTTTGCGACTAAATTTAATAAAATTGTTAAAAGATTAAAGCTGTATTATGTATATGTTAGCATTTTTTTTTCCATATAGAAATTCTTTCAACAAAACGGACTTTTATAAGTTGCGAAAATGCTTAAAGCTTAGGCTGAGTTAATCCTTTTAAATTTTTCTAAATTTATCTACATTATAAATTAATGTACAAAATAGATATGATATGCAGATGGTACACAGATGAGAGACTAGTGACAAGAGATAAGGGTAGAAAAGCACGATGCATGCAGCAATCTTCCACAGATAGTCTTGTACATGATTCCTAATCTCTGTATTTAATATATGATAGTATTATTATGTACCGTTATTCTCAACATTTAATTATAAGAGAAGAAGCAATATTACCGCTATGTAGATATTCGTATTAAATACATATTTATGCTCATAATTAAGCCTATCGCGAATAAAAAATGTGGCAAAAGTGCGGCACGTATGTGTGCGTCACATGCCAGCATTATTTATCATTACGTTTAATGAACGTGCTTAAGACGATCACATCGTGCGCTCTTAATAGCGATTTCTTTTATGATCGTGTCGTCATCCTGTGTCCAACCCTTGATTTGGAGCAATTCGGAGTAATGAAAATCCACGTGTAATACTTCCTGCACATGGCAGGTAAAGTGAGAAATAAAGATCTCTGTAATAATCTTGTAACAAGTCGTTATATGTCTTCTTATGAATTTTATCACAGCTGTCAGGCGATCAATATTAATTGCTCCGACAAACGACTAATGTCATCTTTGAGTCACTATATTTTTGTGTAAAATTATAATGCAATATATATGAAATAACAAATTACTATACGCACCACAATTAAGAAAGAATCTGGATAAGCACTTGACTTGGAAGAATTCTTATAGAGAAGGACTAAGAATTTCACAGCATCGTTATAATGAATTTCGTTATGTTAACGTTTAAAAAGGGATCCATTCGAATCCTAAAGCACGTACTAGGGGGAAAAACTGTTTAACGAATAAACACGTTGCAAACAAGAGTCGAGTGTGTATATAAAGAATAACCTGGGCTTGGTGTGGACAGATGCATGGCTCGCTTAAAACGACCACTCGTCATCTTTCGAGAACTTCTAGCTGAAGTGATGACAAGAAAAACTGACAGACTATAGTAAATGACGAACATCGTATTTCTTGACTAATGAAGTAAAAATATTTTAATGATACTGCCTTCGTGTCCGATGAAAATTTCTTAAATCGCGTCTAAATAATTTAATATGAGGGAGGACTAATTAACACATTTTAATCAAATATTATCCAATATAAAAGTTAACAGTATAAGAGAAAATATTAACGAAAACTCAAACATTTTTCTAACATCGATTTTTACTAATGTTTTTGTGGATATCAGAAATTTGATTTGATTGTCGCTAAAAGAATTTCTCGTTGTATTATCTTCATGGATTTTTAAATCTTGATTGAATACTGCATTACACACAATATCTATTTTTGAAGAAATTTTGTTTTATATATGTTCTCTTACATTTATATTTTGATTTTTATAAAAATGTAGTTGATATATAGGACATTCAACTTTTAGCTATTGTGTGTAGCTAAAGTGACTAATGGATTTGTGTGAGATCAAAGCAATGTAATTCTAGTATTGTGAGAAATGTAAGACTTACCAAGGGTGCCGTCCAGAGAGAAGGAATGCCTATCGTTTCTCCATGCCCAGGAACACAAGTCGCAGGTGGTGAGTCCATCGGTGGCTATGCTTTCTTCGGGTAAATAAGGTGGTCTAGGGGGCGGCGGTATAAAACTGCCAATAACAGCCCATAAGGAATCGACGTCGTTACCGACCCCGGTATAATACAGCAATTCTTCTTCAGCGACACCGGCGAACCAATCCATGTCATTTATAGTAGGATAAACCGTGTTCGTACTTGTCGTAGTTGTGCCGGTGATTGTGACCTGAAAATAAGACAGTTAACATAAATTTACATGAAAAAAAAATATATAAACTCTAATTATTTTTTATAATTATATGAAGAGTTACAATATATTTTAGATAAATATCTATTAATCTATTATAACAGATTATCGTGTGATTTTCTCTAACTTTAATGTAATTATAATAGATGCAACAATTTATATATATATTATATTTTTTCATTTTAATTATATATCATAATAATTAAAAATATCGTAGACTATATGTGATATCTTAATTATTCTATAAAAATGAATTACTGCACATAATCTACTATATATTATTACGATATTTTGAATTCAGGAACGAATATGAAAGTGTCATGCGTCTATTTTTATGTCATAAATAGTTTATTTTAATTTTATTTCGAGAATATGCAAAAGTTATAACGTCACACTAAGTTGAATATTTTTTTGACATGTGCTTATTTTTTTTTTTTAGAAATATTTTTTATATGTATCTTCCGATCGATATTGTTTATTTTGCACATAACATATTTAAAAGTTCAATCGAACTTAATTTTAGAGAGAGAGATAGATTCAATCTATCAAAAATTTAAATTATTTATTAGTAAGGTACGATTTCAATTTTTACACACGCACACAATATATCTCCTAGTCCTGAATAAACATGGCTAATGGAACTCTCATCGTACCCTTGCACGAGGTTGTGAAAAAAAAATTGAACATATCCAGTCTGTCGTCTGGTACATGTTTCAGGAAATGGCGGGGCAAACAGACGTTAAAATCAAAAAGAGTGAGAAACACAGTCAGCGCATCTCTGAGCATTTTTTTCCGTGAAACAGTGGGGAACACCGGATGAAGCTGAGCTTTACAAAGAGACATCCGATGTTCTCCTAACTCTTATGACAAACATTGAGAATTGTACGGGCGGTAGCAAACAAACGTGCCTTTCTTCTTTCTTACTTTCTTGGTTCATCATTTGTATCTTGCACATGAATTTAATAGAAGACAATGCTAAACAATAATCGTTCATGAATAAATTATCTAAAGATATTCTTGAAAATATCCTTGTCGATCATAAAACAGCGCGAAGATAATAATAATTTTGCATTAATATAGGACTTTATTCATTTTTTATTCTAATATAAATAAATTAATAAAATATAATATGATAAAGAGTAAAATATAAGAATATGAAACACTATATGAATAAGATAATATAATATTAAGTACAAAGAATCTTACGCTATGTAATAAAAATGATTTGAGTAATCAGATAAAATACTTTACGAAAAAAACGTGTATTCGAGATTATAACGTGATTTCACATGATTAACGTGAGCAAGAAAATCAAAGGGCATTGACCGTATATAGCGCTATATATTTTTCAGTGAATAACTTGAAGAGGCACATATACACAAGCGGTTTAAAATCCGCATAGCTCGTCAAATGGTGATTATCTCGAGGAACGATGATTCTCTGATGCGAAGTTCCGTGTCGTAAGGCGGAGTTAGCGAAGAATCGATAGACAGCAGATGATTATTCGTATCGCTGGTGATTATGAAACTATTCACGCAAGACATAAACGAATCTCTCCGTGTCGATGTTCTTTGACGCACACGCGCGCAATAGTTAATTATTGACGTAAACAAGTAGGTATTCGTAAAGAAATATGGACACGCATCGTTTTTTTCTTTTCCTGTTCGATTGGGATTAACGTTGCACCGGATGTAGTTGTTTGAAAATCAAGAGATATCTTTCAATGCTGCATGCAGCATTATATTTAATGACTTCATCTCTTCGTTGCTAGGAAGTTCTGACGTTTTTCACGTGAATTGCATATTAATCTAGGATGTGCAGTCATATATTTAAGCGAAATAATGTATTGGCAATTGTAGTATTCGAGATAAATGTAGTTCATTAATGACGGAACGGAAATCATGAGGGTTTTAATTATAGTTGCTTGGTTGTTATATATTGCTATGTATCAATAACTTCTTTAATAAATATAGTAACATTATAAATTTAAAAAATTAATTAAAAAAATAATTTTTTTATTTATAATGTTACTATATTTTAATTATATATATATATATATATATTTTATTAAAATCCATGAAGATAATATAACGAGAAATTCTTTATATATTATATATATATATATATATATATCACGAACAATATATACAAACTATAAAATTTATAAAATATAACATTATTAGGTGACACTGAAAGTGTCGAACGCGATTCAATATTCGTGTTCGAGTATCATGTCTTAAAGGCTTAAGAAGATTGAAGAGCACAGGAATAATGCCGCACGAAGCGTTCCTCTTTATTGAATTCTATCAGTCTCGGATCAGGTCGAATGATCGAATGAAATAACTGCTCCACAGAGAGATTCATTCGAGCGCGCCTACGGTGGTTCTTCGTGTCGAGACACTCGCGTTCTCCGGTAGAAGTTTCAGATCGGGTTGCATATCATCGACGAGATCGAGAGTCACTGTGTTTATTCTCCTCTCGGTTCTTTGTCGTGGCTTTTCCACAGCGGTGAGATGATCGCGGTGAAGATTCGACTGCAGGTACGATGCGTCCTTGTATCCTTTATAAAGAGGTGGGGTACTTTTGTGCTACACGAAGGAGGCTCGTGGTCGGGATTATGGATAGGATCCGGGAGAAACGATCGGGCCCTCCGCATAGCACACAATGGCACACATTGATCGGCTTAATTACCGTGATATCGGCGTAATTAAAGCCCGTTGTGTTAGGAGCCCTTTCTACGAAGACGTCGAAGAAACCGGTGACGTGACTCCCGGCGTCGGGATTCGCGCATTTTTTACGCGTATCTCCTCCCGATAGCTTCGTACGATTCTCTCGTCAAAACCCTTCTGTCACTTCTCTGCGTTCCTCGGCAACGCTTTGTTAATAAGCCATTATCTGACCGGCGACGCACCTTTGGCAAGGCGCATAATTCAATGACGCGGAGCTTTTAATAAACGCGATTCGCATCCAGCCGTGGAAAAATTATGAACGCAATCTCATCCGGCGTGTGCAAGGTCATCCAGGTGGAGTTCGTTTTTTCTACCAAATAAATACGTTCGTTATATTGCGATTTAACATCGATGAAAGAAAATAGGGAAATATGCTTGCGCCAGAGATAAACGAAAACAACTTTGTCGTTTTTCTTTCATGTCTTCTTCTTTTCTCCTGTGGTTTTGCTTGTATTAGTAAACTTGAGTTTTATTATATAATTTTTGTCTGAAAAATTTTTCATAATTTTTTATTCGAATTGTTTAATGTATAACACATATATGTATATACATACATATCATGGATATGTAAATACATATATGTATATAGAGTTGTTTAACTTATTTTTTTTATTAATGTCGAAATGTATTCTATTAATGAATATTATTAGATATTAAATTATGTATGATATTTTTGATCACCCGAAACATTTAATGATGACATCTTGAGACAATCGAGAATCGCCAAACTGTCATACGCGATTACCTTTTTTCCGTTTTGACACTTTTATAACGAAAAAAATTTTGGTGTGCTTTAGAATCATCTACTCGCGTTTGCAACATTCGGATCCAAGGAAATCAGAAATTCAGCACATTGTTCAGCACCGCCTCTCCAAAAGAAGAGGATCTTACAACGAGAAAAGATTATCCAATATCCAAACTTCAGTGTGACTACTTCAGACCAAGTAAGTGACAGCGAAAATAGTTTAGATATGTTTGCGTGATATAACAATAATATTTACGTTTATCGTTGTCAATCGATTCGTTATCGCAATACGATAATACTTCCTGTACGTGACATGGTTATACAATCCCACAATAAATATCCACGTAGTCACGCTCGTCAATGAAATGTTTAAAATATGGGATTGTTCGATTGATTTGTGGGTCATCAGTATGGCCTAACAAGAACCAATCCAAAGTATTAACACCTCGAGCTATTGCTTTTTGATTTCATCATCTGTTATACTTGTTATATTTGAAGGTAAGTAACGTCTCGTTACAATTACGAGGCGTTTACGAGCGAAAGGGATGATGGTTTATACTTGTTAATTATAACATTTTCCTCGACGGCTCTGTCATTTTTAGACAGGCTTATATATACATTCAATCATTAAAAGAACGCGGAAAGTATTTCTATATAAACTTTGCATTCTAATCGCGAATTTATGCATATTTTAGATATAAAATTATTCTTCCTTTTTTAGTGTGCATATAATTAAATTTCGTATAAATTATTGTTATATAGAAATTAATATGCTCGAATTATTCAATTTTCTTACGACAAATTAGTCATTTTATTAAAATATCACTTATTGTTAGTAATACAAAAGTTAATATGAAAAGAAAAATTATATGAAAAAGTTTATGAATGAAGTCATTCATATTATTAATGAAATTAATTTAAACGTAATTAGTATTTAAACATTTAAAAATATTGCTCACGATGATTGAAACATAACTTTCGCACGATAGAAACATAAGAAACGCCATTTATTATCCGGATTCAAAGTGCCGACATTCAGAATGCGGCTAAAATTATAGGGTCCCCTTGAAATTTCCATAGTAAAATAGGTCTACGGTTCTTTTTACGTTTCGGTTGCGATTCACACCATTGTCCCTATGATTTCTTTCGCGGCCCCCGATGCCAACATTCTCCGTCTCTCCATCCGGTCGTTTTCAAATATATTTTAGAACTCGCACTACGGAATTCGCGCCCTGTTTCTATCGAGCCGCCGCCTTCCGACGTGTTTCGTCGGACCGCGCATTTGCAATTCTGACACATTCGCAGTCGAATTTGCCCTCTTCAGGATACAGTAACACAAAGGAATCAGAGTCGGAAGCGATGTGGCGGGATATGTTGGAATACCAAACATGATTCCCGAAAAGATTCTCCTGGTTTCCATCTCGCGTCGCGTCTTCGTTTTCAATTCCGTTCTCTCCGTCGTCGTCGCTGACATCGTCTCGCGATCTTCGTGGTCCTGTGAATTTTCGGTGCTCCTTGGCGCAAGGCCGGGAGATGCGTTTTATCCATCTTTCTTCTCTCCCTCTCGCTTACTCCCGCCAAGTTTGAGGGGTCGTTAAGGATGGGTTCGAGGGCCAGAGCCGTATATAACGGATAATTGACAGCCGTGCCGGGGCCGCCGTTTGCTTTGCATGGACATTGAATCCGCGCGGCTACGGATGGACGGGATATACGGCCGAGAGGAAGATGAGAGGCCACGAAATTCGACCGATTCGACCGGCCGAACGAAACCGCGAAAGAGCACGAGACGTGACGGTCAGAATGGGGGGAGGAATGGAGAAGTAAATGTATGCTCGCGCTCGACAGACTCGTAAATTCTTCAATCTCCGATTCGGAAAAACACATACACACACATGAACGTAACAGGGTGCTGTTCTCTTATAAGATGAACAATCTCATTTCGCTTTAATTGCGCAGTCCGATGCAGCGGTACTTTGTTCATCTCGCTATATCCGGTCGAAAAAAAGTAAAAATAAAAAATTATGAAACTTAAGATAATGAAATGTGATTTCTGATTTTTTCTTTAAAAAATATAAATATTTTAAACGTTGTGTGCGCGGTGATAATTAATATAATTGCGTTTATATCATTGAAACTTATATAAAATTGGTTTATAATTTTTTAATTATAAATTCTTTTAGAAATAAAAAATAAAATAGTTTTTTTATCTATACAAAATGTATCAGTATATTACGATATAAATTTTATTTGATTAATTTTTGTGTCTATAAAATCTCCATCTCTTAAATATCATATGATATTTGCATATTTCATCAGTTTGCGTTCTTTTTAAATCGTGCATAAAGATGTAGATAAAAATGTAAAGCAAGTGTAATAGACTGTGAAATTGATTTGTACGTAATGTATGACAATTTTGCGAATTATTTTTATTTATGTGTTGTTACCGTTATCTGCGGTTAGAATGAATTATATAAAAGACTATAAAACGCCATTCAATAACTGAAAGGATAATTTAAACGGACGGCAACGAGATTATAAAGGGGTTCGTAGTTCCGTATATGCAGTCTCGCATGCGCGAGCGTCGTAATTCGAAAATGTACAGTTACAGTCGCAAGTGGAGCATTCGTAATGTCCGTGAAAGTATGAGGTCTCCTTTAAATTACGTCGCAAATTACCATCTCTCCCGCTGTTTCTCACCGCGACCTCACGCGTGCTGCAAATGCACGCAATAGCACGCAACTCCCTCGCGCATTAAGAGAACTAATGAACTTCTCAGAGTATATCTCAGCCGGTCGTACATTTTTCTTCGATACGTTCCACGTCGTTACATGGACAGCAATGATGATTTTCACACTCGAACGACTTTTTATCGAATTATGACATGTAGGAGTATTCACGGGTATACTTACGCACGCGCGAGAAATATTAACGCTCGTGATTACATCGAGATATCGAGGGACCTTTAATGTTTATCCTCGTACCAGTAAAATACGATTTGCGAAAGCTCTTCAATCAAACGACTTTATTATATGTCCACGTCACGCTATATATATTTTCTCGTAATTATTCGCGACACACTAATGCGAGATATATGTGTATGCTATACATATATAAATATTTAAAAATGCATTTAGTACACATATATCTAATCTTTAATACATAAAGCAATAATAATCAAATAATGAAATATACGACATTTTTACAAATATATTTTGCATTAAAATTTTATTTTCTCGATCGTTATTATCTCGTAAGTTTAGATTGTTAATTTCACTACTAGGTTCACGTCGAAATCTATTTTGTCTACTATTTTTTTTTTTAATGAAGGTTGAAGCAAACAACCAAAAATGACTTGTCACAAGACACCTTAATCCTCCCTAAGGACTGAGTGATCGATCTAAAACAGACAACAGGATGTATGGATTCTGTTGACTTCTTATAGGAATGTACCTGCGGTTTTCCGAACCTGTTTCTTTTCGTTTGTGCTTCTCACCTTTCCTCTTCTCATCGCAGCAACTCGCGTTAAAACCTTGTTGTCCCATTCGGCTTGTGTTGGAGACGAGATAAAATCCGGTGGCGGATTAGCCCCGGTAATGGCATCGATGCAGAACCAGTCAGTGGACCAGCCTGATGTCATAATATTATGGTACGTGCTGATGTTAGGGATGTGTCATGTGACGCTGGGATTTTCTTTTCATCGGGTGAACAATGCTAGTGTAGCTAAAATTTGATGTGTCCTATAGCAAATCTCTTCGAATCATCTCTATATATCTTCGTTGCTTGAGATGGAACGATTTTTGAAGCTCATCGTTGAAGCAGTAACAAGACGATCGTTACTCGGAAATAAAAAAAATATCAGTCGATTCCATAGTGCATAAGAGCAATAGCCTCAGAAAAAACGATGTCGCATGTCTCTCTCTCTAGATCCGGAAGAATATTATCTCTCTTCCTTCCCCAATTAAATTTTTTTTTTCAAGAGTGAGTACAGGATTTACCGATAATGAGTTAATGTGAAATGAGGATCGTTTATCTTCGTTCTCGCATCAAATTCTCTTGCGTGCACCGAACTCTTGACAAACGTCCTATTATTATCTTCGTTCATCTGTCGAGGCCAATTGTGGAAAGAAAAAAATAGCGAGAAAAGAAAACAGTGACGCTGAACTAAACGAAGAGGGATAAATATCTTCTTCTTCTTTTATATATATATATATATATATATATATATATATATATTCATATGGCGCATAGAGAGTAGACACTGGCGACTACTTTGTCCGTCTCTATACGCGTTGAATCATCCGGTCGGTTTCCTTTCACGAGTCGATGGCAGCCGTTCTCGCATCAAGGCCTGTGGTCTTCTCCGAGCAAGCATAATGACTCAATCCACGATCCACCTTGCCCCCACCCTCTTGTCGACCACGAGGAAAGATATCTCTCTCCCTCTTTCTCTTTTCCCCGATTTCTTCTCCTCTTGTATACTTACCTTTCTCTCTTCATCTTGCGAAGATTATACGTCTGCTCGTCTCTGGCGACCCCCGAAGACAAGAGATCTGTGGTTTTTCTCGTGACCATCCGCTTTGCACAGTTTCCTTTGCCGCTGTATTCTTTAACCTCTTTCCAACTCCTCTTTATCTTTGTCTTCTTGTTCTTCTTCATCGTCTTCTTCTTCTTCATCGTCTTTATGACCGAGTGTTGCAAAGAGTCGTGCAAAGAGAAATCGACTTCAGCGGCGCTAACTCATGCGCTTGCGTGACGCCGTGCTGTTGGACGAATCCTCCTATGATTATACCTTATGATCCTGAAATTTGCTATGACGATAAGCTAGGACGACAGGGTGCGGACGTCCCCGAATGATTAGGTCGAGTAGAGTAGACGCGTAAGATCAGTGGCTGATTGGCCACTGGCTATATTATCTTAGGCGAGTGAACTGCTAAAAATTACTGGTTGTTTGAATTAAGATGCGGCCATTTACGGTGGAATATTTCGTAATTATAGCAGCTATTATGTGTCAAGATGTGTTATCGGGCTGAAAAACAAGCCGTAGGCATAGCCATCTAATTTATCACGAAGCAAGATTTATCATGAACAAATCATATTTTATAATTTTTCTAGAAAATGATTCTGTAGTACTTTGTGACAAATTGATTTAGATATAGATGCTTTTATTGAAATGTATGATATATTGAGTTTGTGAATTTG